CCCAATGCTCAATTTTCGGTCGTTTCCGCGAAAAAGATGGTAGACGGGTGCTCTGGTACACTCGGTATTTGAGGGTACCGATACCATACCGCCGGATAACGTTTTATCCGACGGTGCCGTACTGGCGTAATAACGCCGATTTTTTAAACGTGCTTCTTAAATAACTTAACCCAAAAGACTCAATATTTTGCCCGCCTGTTGATGCTGTCCAATTTTCAATGTAGGATTCCTCAGGACATGAGCGTCCATAAGCATTTCCACTGGTATGTTTCCAATGTGGAAGCTTTCAAATGCTTGATTTGTGCTACGTTTTCTGTAAGAATACATATTTTTTAGATTTTTTGAAAAACTCAAGTGTTCCATGAATAGTTCGCCGGCAAATTTTGATAAAATACAGGAAAGTGGTTTTCATTAACAAATCTAGCGCAGAAAAATACGTTAGAAACACATATCACATCAGCAGGAAGACAGGAGTTTAAACCATTACACTAGAATTTTTGTCAAAATGTAGAAAGTCGAAAAACAGATTTTAACTTACTTGAATAAAATATTTTTTTAAACATCGGGATGCATCTCAAAAGCATTCCAGCTTTCATCATCAGCTGTGCGACTGACTATTCTCTCGCTGTGCGTGCGCTTGGCTACGGGTTGAATGATGACATTGGTGTCTAAAACCGGTTGATGGATTGCAACGGTATCTGAAATGTTTCTGCCTTGGTGGCAATCGTCAGAATTATGTATTTTTAAAATATTGAGTAATGAGGGTACAACAACTCTTTAGATATGTATTTAGTATTTTAAAATTTCCTACTTCTGACCATTGCCACCAAGGTAGGAACATTTCGGACACTAATGTAATCCATCAACCAGTTGTTTTTTGACACCAATGTAGTCCATCAACCTGTAGCCATGCACACGCACAGCAAGAGAACAATCAGTTGCGCTACTAATGATGAGAGCATGTTTTCAAAACATGTATAGATTTTTAAGAAAATTTTTGTGGAAGAGAGTTGAAATCTTTTTTTTCAACTTTTTACATTTTGACCTATCACATGTAGAGGTTTTTTTTTTTTTTCGGATGCAGACTAACGTAATTATATGAGAATTCATACATTCTTTTACCTCTTGGAACAGTATCTGGATGTTTCACCGCCTACGCCCACAGCAAAGGTGAAATAAAATTTTTAAGACGTCTGATGGGATTATACCTATTTTTCGCTGATCTTAGTTTTTCCTAAAATATACTAATTTCTTGGGAAACTGATTTTTCCACTAGAAAAAATGTTGTTTTTCGATATGAAAACGACTGAAAAGTTCATCATTTTGGCGACACACCCTTCTGTTTACCCTCTGATTCCAAATGTCCGATTGTTCTAAAATATCCATAATTTATGAATCAGCAGTGCTTTTGAGGAAAAAATAATTTTAGTGCATGAAATCGAGTAGTAAGTAATCAAGTAGAGAGTAAAGGACCCTACAACAAAACGGCCAAATCTGCCTAAACACGGAATCCTACAATTTTCTCAGGGATGAAAGAGGGTCTTCCCAAACACTCAAAACTGGTCTTATTTTTTGCCTAGCCCCCAGGGAAAAGGGGGGAGAGGGGGTCAAAGTCAAAACCTTTAAAGTAGCATAACTTCTCAACGGTACGTTGTAGAAAGACGATCTTGGTGTCAAAATTTCCAGAAAAATGAGAGCTATCAGAATATACGTATCAAGTTAATGCTATTTAAAAATTTGACCTACTTTTGGGGGAATGATACAAGGTCCCCCTTTGGTAAATTTTCGTTTTTCGAGATTTTCGGTCAATCGGTTCGCACAAGGCAAAACAAAAACAATTTTAAATGAAAGTAGAGCGTTTAAGGGTTAAAACAAGCCCAAGTTAATCTTGAGGAAACGATTAGAAGGGGAGTAATGAGTCTTCAAAGTTGACACGGCGCGCGGGAACCTTGTATGTTCCGAGTCTCAAGGTCACCTGCGCCCCTTGGACTGCTCGCAAGTGGCGAGTTTTTGTATTTTTATGCTCCTGTATGCCGTTTTCAAAATGTTACATTCAATGAAGACGGAATATTTGGAATTTATGAATTTTACACAATGGGCCTCCGGTGACGCTTGTCACACTAATGTTAAAAAGTTTGAGCCGTGTTCCAAATTGCCCTCTCAACAATAACTGGGGCTTGTTTTGAAGCACAAGCCGCCTGCTTCTACAAGAAACTATTTGGTTTTATAAAGTAAGATCTGCAAAGCGCTGTAGCTTAGCTTAATTATAAAACTGTAAAATCAAGGGTACTTCAAAATTTGGCATCTATGGGTTATAATTTGAAAATGGTTCAGTTCTGTACAGATCATACGTATATTTGAACTGAGGGTCCATGGTTTTTCCTAAATTTTGAGAGCAGAATCTTCCTTTTCAGCAAATTTTTAATGAGATATGATGGAAATAATGGTTGATACCCTTAGCCCTCTCTCGCTCTTTCCGTAACATTTATAAATTCTGAATATTCCATCTTCATTGAATGTAACACTTTGAAAACGGCATACAGAAGCATAAAAATACAAAAACTCGCCACTCGCGAGCAATCCGAGGGGTGCAGATGACCTTGAGACTCGGAACATACAAGGTTCCCGCGCGCCGTGTCAACTTTGAAGACTCATTACTCCCCTTCTAATCGTTTCCTCAAGATTAACTTGGGCTTATTTTAAACCTTAAACGCTCTACTTTCATTTAAAATTGTTTTTGTTTTGCCTCGTGCGAACCGATTGACCGAAAATCTCGAAAAACGAAAATTTACCAAAGGGGGACCTTGTATAATTCTCCCAAAAGTAGGTCAAATTTTTAAATAGCATTAACTTGATACATATGGGTGGATTTTAGCTAATGGAAGAAAATATGGGAAAGATGTGTAACTGGTTGCTCAAAACTTTGAATTATAATATTTTCTCTCAATGTTTGGTTTTTTGCTTAGAACCAGGTCACACCAACCACGAAAAAATTCCTCAGGAGATTTGAATAGCTCTAAACCTTTTTTTCAACGTGCTGAACAGTGAAAATGTCAGTTTTGTGACGTGTAACTTGGAGGTAATCAATGTATCAAATCGTTAAATAAATAAACTAGGACCTTTTGCGAGCTTTGTCTAATTTTTTTTTTAAGTCTTGAATGAATATTGTTCGATATAATATGCATTGAAACACCAGAAAATTATATTATTCAATTTAATTTGAGACTTGAAGTGCGTAACTCAACAATATGTCAGTTTGGTGACGCTATGCGTTTTAGTTTGTGGCCACTCAAGAGATAGCGCTTGTGTGCGGATTAAGGCATGACTAAGTGCGGAAAAGTAGAACGAACAGACGTGAACTTGATAAGTCCATATTTTTCTTCCAATTCCAGCATAATTTTAGTTTTTCCCATGATTTTTGGAGTGTCTCACTTGTTCAATGTCAGTTTGGTGACTCTGTTTCCCATCAAAAATGTTGGTGGAATATGCAAGGAATATGTGAGCAAATATTTTTTTCTTACATCTGCAGGTAGCCTCTCGACCTTAAGTCAATTATTCGTTTGATTTTGTTACTGTAAATTGGCAGTAAAAATTAATAACAGCAAAATGTCAGTTTGGTGACGTCACCGTACCTGACATGTCCAAACCAAACTAACATGTCAAGCTTGGTAAAGAAAAATAATCGTAAAGATATTGCGATGCATGCAATTAAATTCTATAGTATGGAACTCTACGATAACAGAAAAGTAGTCTATAGCTTGATATGGCCAAATCACTTTTCAACTTTTTTTCAGAACCATTTTCTCCCATTAGCTGAAATCCACCCGAATATTCTGATAGCTCTCATTTTTCTGGAAATTAGCTCTCATTTTTCTGGAAATTTTGACACCAAGATCATCTTTCTCCGACGTACCGTTGAGAAGTTATGCTACTTTAAAGGTTTTGACTTTGACCCCCTCTCCCCCCTTGTCCCTGGGGGCTACGCAAAAAATGAGACCAGTTTTGAGTGTTCGGGAAGACCCTCTTTCATCCGTGAGAAAATTGTATGATTCCGTGTTTAGGCCGATTTGGCCGTTTTGTTGTAGGTCCTTTGTCGCCGAAGTGACGAAAAGCCCACATTTTTGCACCAAAATCCTTCTGAAACCACAGTAAAGTAAAGAGCTTGCTGCATGTATCAGCACTGAGCTTGACGAGGTTTCTCCGTTCAGAAAATGGTTGGGGCAACCTTGGTGATAGACACTCGGAGGGGAAATAATATGATAAAAAATTAAGCATGGGGACAACACTTTTGGCGCTTTAGCTGAAAACGACCCACATGCCTAGTCAAAATCTAGCTACTTGCACACATTAATATCCAATTGGGCTGAAATTTATGAGGGTCTTTTTTGATCAAATAGATGAATACCAGGGGTGAAAACAAACTAATTCTGTCTTTGACAAATTTGGGCCACCCTAATGTTGCTCAGCACCTATCTCATTCCCTCACTCTTGGAAGTGTTTACATTCCTCTGTCTCTGCGTTCCTACCTCCCATTCTTTCTCCTCCATTGAAAATAGTCCTCTGCACAAAAATACTGTACCAGCTAAGTATCCAGGCATTGATAAAGTTCTCCGCTTTCTACAATTTTGTGCGAGCCCTGAAAGAGCCTCCACGTAAAGTGGTGACCTTTTTCTTCCTTCTTTAGGCTCTTTGGTCGACCAGTGGTAAGAAAATTTTACAACGGTAGTAAGAAGGACTTAATCAACGCTTATATTACCATTTATATAGCCATTTCTAAAAAAAAAAAAAAAAAAAAAAAAAAAAAAAAAAAAAAAAAAAAAAAATCCGAGGGCTTTTGTGAATTAGTAATATCATCGACCCCTGGAAATATCATTTGTTCAGAATTACTAGGTATCCAAAGCCCCTAGTTGAACGCTTTAGGGGGAAGCCCCTTTGAACAAATCAGCTGATTATTTGTTAATTGAAAACAAGAATTGTCTTTAAATTCTGTTTATTTGCAGGTCTATTTCAAGGATCTCGTTGTCCTAAAGGCAAAAACTGCAACTATCTTCATGTTTTTTGGAACCCAACAGCTGAATTTAAGAATGCTGACAAAGATTTATTACCTCGTGAGAGAAGAAAAAATCTGTCTCCCAGTCCATTCAGGTATGAGCAAAATTTTACTTCTTCATTACCACCAAACTTTTAGCCAGAAGGTATGCATCATCACCTCTAAAAGGATAAATTGAGAGGGGAATCAGTCCCTCAGAAACTATCTGATAAGGCGAGTGGTAGAGGAGAGAATAACATTTTAATAGCTCCTAAAAATCACCGGTTGACAAAGCTAGGCTTTTAGTTTAATCAATAATTCATAAGTACCCTCAGAAAATGTTCAACCTTAACCCTTAACCACCTGATTTTTTGGTCTTTCGAAATTTTTAAAATTGTCTAGTTTTTGAAGCCACTGAGGCCTCCTATGAGTAGAATATGAACAAAATTTAGGTGAAGCATAGCATGCTGGATTTGACGTACCATATTGGGTACGCTAGGATATTGAAGGGTCAAATGGCATGAGATCCCATGAAATGTATTAAATGTCAAAAAGCGTGCCATGTATGGCATGCCAAGATGTTAAAACGCAATGAAGTAAAAATAGAAAAACTCATTAAATCTAGAACTGAAGAAAATAGCGAACTGTTCATTTATGAGAAAACTTGCATCAGCTAGGACTGCACAATGCCTATACTAAGATGTCCTCTAATATTTAAAATTAATTTTGATTATAAAATTCTGTACATGAAGAGGAATGGTGTTTGTTTGCATTGACAAAATTATATTTTTGTATCGATGTAGAGTAATTTTGGGTGATAAAAGTTCCAATGATGAAAAACTTTCATGCAAGCACAAGAATAGAGTTTATTCAGAATAATATCTATTTTGTTTTAGATCAAGAAGCAATAAACATTGGCGGTGGTCAGAGTCTCCTGAACCAATATCTATTTCAACTGAATCTAGAAAAAGCTGTAAGGATAGTCATCGTGGAAGAGACAAACACTGGAAAAAGAGTAGAAAAAAGGACAAAGCTTTTCATAGTAAAGACTTTGATAGGAAGAAATCTCAAAGAGAGAGAGAAATCTCAAATGACTCAGACAGCAGTGTCAGTGATGATCATCAAAGAGGAGCCAAATTAATCAAAATAAAAGCCAAGAAACGGTCAAAAGAAAGAGAGACTGATTGGCAATACAGTCACAAGAGCAGGAGTCAGGAACCAGTGAAAAGAAAAGAGGACTCGTGTCGTCAAGAGCAGACCAAGAAAACAGTTCTAAGAGGAAGAGAAGTTCCTGGAAGTGAGGAGAGAAAGGGTACAGTAGTTCTCAAAGAGGCGTCTAAATCTGGAGACAAAGATCAAGAATTGGGAGATGGCAGCAAAATCAATGATGGGAGTGATAACTTTGACACATGATCTTCTTTTGTAGCTAATTCCTCTTATTTCTGTCAATCAGGTAAGAAATTCCAAGTATACGGATCCAATTTTTAAAATGAGGCGAAAATTTCAGACGACTAGTCTATCGGAAATTAAAGCGCTAAATTAAAAAATGATGTCAATCTTCACTTGAGGATTTTCCACAAAATTCTCACGTGAGGAAGAAAAACAGATGTCATTTTCGGATTATGTTCTGTAAATCTATCAGGAATATCTGAGTTTTGCTTGCCTCTCTCCATTAAACACTTTTTTGTGTAACATCGATTTCTTTTTATTGATTTTCCACCTTACTTATAACTTGAGTATTCAGTGCTCTTAATTAAGGTGTCTTTAAAAGAAAACTGACCCTCAAAAATTTACGCCTTAATAATGGCCAGTTCACCCCCTTGTTCCTGTGTGAATCAATCAATCCTAGATTAATCACCGCCTTTGTGGGCTTCTGATTGGCGAGTGGGATCTGGATGTGTTATGAGAGAAGCAGCGATGCACAATTTCTGGAAAATTTTGTTAGTTCAGTCGCCTATCTTCGCCAGTGTGGGTAATGTGGTTCCATATGAAGCTAAGGTTGCATGTAAAAACACCTTTCCTTGCGTCCTCTTTACGTTTTTTGGTGGTGTTAAATGAACTTCTTCGCAATCACTGGCATGCGCGGACTAGGAATGCTCGCAGCCTTGATCCTGTTGTTTCCTGCCGAATCCTAGGCCTTGTCTCCAAGGGCCGTTTTCAAGGGATTACTCCCAAGTTAGAATCACAGAGTGAATTCTTCCGAGATTTCTCCCAGTTATAGTCTCCAAGAGACAGGGCTCTCAAGTTCCTGCAACTTGTTTGCCCAGGAAGATAAATCAGTAAAAATCGGATATTCAACTAGGATTAAGATAATAATTGAACATAATTAACAATCAAAGAAATTATTTAAAGTATACAGACACGAACAATCGAGTGAACTACAAAATATCACAAAATTGCTTTCACTTCTTCTTCCTTTCTCAGTTGGTCTTAGATCCCTGTAAGGACACGAAGACCACACGTACTTGGTACCAGAATTAATATTGACTAATTCTATGTTTTTTCCACGTTCGCAAGTGAGATTTTTTCTTAGGAAAAATCCCATGAAACGTCCGGTGGAGACAAGGCCATAGACTGCAGTTCAACTCTTCTGTCAACTTTGGGAGTAAAAAACCAAATCCGTAAATGGCCTCTGCACGATCGCAGCATTCACTGACAGCAATATTTGCTGCATCGATTCGCAGTCAGTTGTTGCGTTTTTTTTTCAAGTTGTTGACTGCATGTGATAGCAATGCAATATTTTTTAAGTGCATTTATCTGCAGAAATTTTGAAGTGCGTGTGAAAAACAGTTAGAGTTTACGTAAACATCGAAGTACCGAATTACCTAAGTGCATTTACATTCGGCCTGAGGTACCTAGCATTATGATGTTACCTCTTACCATGTATACCTCTACTGTTGCCACCTTAGTGGTAGGAAATTTTCCAGTCAGCGGTTAAAAAGTCATCCGGTAAATCACCCTAGCGGTGGGAAATTTTCTGGTTAGCGGTCATAAAGTTACCCGGTAAAGGCACCTTAGCGATACTTGGTAGATTTTCTAGTCAGGGTACTGTACCGCCGAATAACCATTTCGTATATGAGGCCTTATCTGTAACAATGACGTATGTAAAAAATTACCTTTTCGAAACACGCTTAAAAAACTGTTTTGGTCATACAAGAATATAATATACTAGCGGCCTGAGGCCGCTAAACACTGAAAGGGAACTGCTCGTAAGAAATCATAGAACAACCACGTTCAAGTTATTTATTATAATTGAATAGCAACTTGAATTGACAATAAATTTTGAAAGAAGATTTAACATGTTCTGAAATTTTGGAAATTGAAATTGGAATTTTGAATTTATCATCATTTAATAACAATTTAAATTTATTATAAATTTAGAAAGAAGAAACAACATGTCATGAAATTTAATCGAGATCTTTTCTTTCTATTAACCAAGTATATAATTTGGTAGCTTCAGATGATTCAGGATATTTGTCTACATGACTGTTCCAGGCCAGCGATAGTTGATTTTGGTCCATATAGGACGATTTTATAGCGTTTGAGATTGAAATCACCACATTTTCATCTTCTTCTCCCAAGAGCGTCGACCGATCTCCCCAAAGAATCAGATCAATCTGTAAAAGTTAGGTATTTTAAATTTGATTAAATGTGTATGGAAAAAAATACCGCAGGTACCATCATTTAAAAACTCAACATATTTAAAAAACCATATCAACACCATTGTCCCACTTTTTTGTGGTTACATTGAAATAAAATGCATAAATATCATTTTGATGTTACTGATATTTTGTTTCAGAATAGTTTCAATTTATTCAAAATTGTTTTATACTTTTATTTGTTTATAAAAACTTTAATTAAAAAATGTTGACTGGTTTTGATGTACAGAAATAATTTTAAACTATTTGCTGTAACCGTAATTGAAAAATTGATTTTCCAACATATATTTTTATAGAGCTCGTTAGACTTTTTGTTCGTTTCGGAGAGTTGTTAAATTACTTCCGTCAAGTTGATTCAACATGTCTTTTTCGTAGCACACTCCTTGGATACTTCCAGATGAGTCCTCTACTTCAAAGTTGAAGTAGTAGCCTGACTTGTTGCCCTCTTTTTTGAACTGCTTAATTCCAGTTATTGTAACAACGCGGCATTTTATTATTGGCTTGTACATGTTATTTTTCAAATGCGTTATTTGTTGAACATTCATCATTCTTTGTGGTTCTTCTTATTCTGAAAATGATTGATTTAAAATAATATGCTTAGCATTATCGTATTTTAGAACCCCTAATATTAACAAAAATTGGGTTCGTAACTCTGTTTGTTTACACTGCTATGCTAATTAAAAGCAAAGAAAAGTAATAGAAGAAGAGGAAAAGATAAGTAAGAAAAAGGAAAGAAAGAGAATATGAGTAAAAGATACATCAGAAAAACAATAGAGAAATAAGGAGAGTAAAAAAGAAAAATAAGAAGAGTAAAAAAGAGAACTAAGAAGTAGAAAAATAAGAAGAAAAGAAGAAAAGAAATTTATATTTTAACAGGAAAGTCGAATAGATTTAAAAATTCATGCCGGAAAAAACAGGACCAAACGGCCCTATCCTTGAAAATGATTGAAAAAGGAAAAAGGTAAAAATATATTGAAGAAGAGAAGAACAAAAGAAAAAAAAAACAGAGGAAGGAACGTTAAATGGATTGCGTTAAGCAGAAAGGAACCAAGCCACATCAGCTATTGCCAAATTTAACCGGGCAATTTAATTTATTACATGATAACAGTAAAGCAGATTTGTTTGACAATTTCACTGAATTTTTTGAATATTACAAGGCAAATCTCCTAAAATTTTCAATAAAATTCGCACCAACGTTTTCTTGTAAAAAATTAAATACCACAATTAAATTTGGCAACATCCAGTATGGCTTGGTTTTATTCTGCTTAACGCGGTCCAAATATCAATTGAAGTTGTTACGGTCTATTTCAATTCCCGGAGCTTATTGTACCCGGAATCAGATAATTCTAATTGTTTCAATTTTTATACTGGTTAATATCGATGTTTCATAATTGAAAAAATCTTTATAATTTTCTATTTCAGCAATCGGTAAAAAGCTAACGGGAACTGTTTGCAAGGGGTTCTTAAATTTAAATTTTTTTATACAATTTTTAGAAAGTAAAATCCTTCATCGAATAAATGAGTTGTCTGAAGATTAAATATGCGTGAACTATTGGTCATATGGGATTCTTCATACTAAAGAAGAACTATGTTTCATGCAATTTTTATGCAAGTTAGTTCCTTTTAGTGTAAATTCGTCATTTAATGCGGTAAGATTTTCAAAGTGAATAAATAAGAGAAGTACCAAAAAAAAAAAATTAATAAATCATTTACATAGACGGTTAATATGGTTATAATTAGATACTAACGATAAACACACTGTTCTCCCAAGTTCGTTGGGTTCAAGGAGACAACAATGGGGAAAAAAGTAAGTTTAAAAACCAACTCGTTGAAATGAAAGCCACTAATATAACTAACACACTGTTATAGATTATTAAGAATCCGCCAGTCAAAGTGCGAGGATGGATAAAGAATGACTGAATTTAAAAAGTAAATTGCTCAGAAGAATGAACATATTTTTCGTTAGTTCCTCCGCTGCATAGTTTTGAGATGAATGAAAAATAAGACGATTTATGAAGATCGATCTGACTGGATAGTCGGAAGAAAAGAACTTAATACCTAATATAGCTTGATTCGATCAGTCGAAAAACTTTATAATGCAACTCAGGTGTGGGAATTAAAATACAAAGTCATTTAGTGGCAACACGGTCCGAAGTTGTATTACATCGTTTCCATGGTATTACGATTTCAATTGCTTGCGCTGAGGAAGCTTTAACGTGAAGGGGGGAGTTTCGAAGAGGATTGAAATGATTTTCACAGAAGTTTCTTGTGTATACATATAATAAATGAATATTATTTGAGGACTTCATTTACAGGGAGAAACTTATCTTTACAAATCGCAAAATATCGGCAAAATTGGTGCAGTTTATTGAAGCGCATCACGGGAATATATTAATGTATTACGTGCTTCGCACGTAGCAGCTTATGCAGACTGAATGACAAGAGAAAAAATACGGTGATTTTCGGATTCAGCCGCCAAAATTACACAAGAGCCATTTATAGCATGCTTATTCAAGTTTCCTTTCTGTTATTGAGGTACCCTCGGGGGGCTCCCGCGGCTCCCCCGTTGCGGACCCCCGGGGGGTGCTCGCACCGCCCAGCGCGGGACGAAGGGTAGAACCTTCGGTCCAAACGCGGCTCCGATCGGCCCAGCAGGAAGGGAGCCAGGCGGATTTTTCCGAAAACCGTCGGAGGGCACCAGCGCACCCCCGGATGGAGGGATCGCTAAATCCAACCTGACCGAACGTCGAACACTAACGAAACATCGGATTGCCCGGTCATGGACTTCCTCCGC